GGAACCCACCTCCTTCTCTCCTCCCTGCAGACCAAGAAATTCAAAATCCCCGTCATCCGGGCCGTGAGCCGCAGGCTGAGCCGCCGGGGCTCCACCACCAGCCTGTCCCGCACCAGCGGCGCGTCCTCCCCGCAGAGCAGCATGGTCTCCATGAACCCCGGCTCCGACGAGCCCCCGAGCGTGGCCACCCAGGTGACCGGCAGCAAAGACGTCGAGGACAACGAGTCCTCTTCCACCAAGCCCGACGAGGAGCCCCTGCACCTCAGTAAGTGCCCCCCGAGGTCCCACCACCCGGCCTCGACGTGACCATGTCCTTAGGAGCCCGCCCGCTCCACCTCCCCTCGGTCAGCACAGGCACAGGGCTCCCCCAGCCCCATGCGGCTCCTTTGGGCCCCTTTCCTTTCCCCTGTGGGTGAAGTGACTCCCAGCATCCCCCTAAGGAGACATCCCAGCTCCTCATTGTACCTTTTGAATTTAAAAAGCCCGGCACCCGCCTGTCACCCCAGAGGCTCAGGAGGCTGAGGCAGGAGGATTGCGAGTTCAAAGCCAGCCTCAGCAACAGTGAGGCCCTAAGCAACTCAGTGAGACCCTGTCTCTCAATAAAGTACCAAATAGGCCCCACAGCCACCAGGGAGCCACACATTTACTGTCTGGCCCAACAGATTTGTCTTCTGAGAGATTTTCCCTTTCCCTGGAACAAGACTTTTCAGTGTTGGTCACAAACGAGGGGACACAGGCACGTTGGTGGAAAACTCACTGAAAGCTTTGGGCTCAAGAAGAAAATTCAAACACACACACACACACACACACACACACATACACACACACACACACACACACACACATACACACACACACACACACACACACCATTTTTCACACCATTTGTGGGTGGGGAGCCTCAGATCTCAGCCAGACAGAATTGTGACTGGAAGATGGGGCAGGAAGGAGGACCCGCTTCTGCAAAATTATTGACTCGGGTGCACAGGACAGCCCCCTGCCT